TTGGCGTATCAATTAGCTGATGCAATTTATGATTGTTGATTATTCCTTTATGCTTATAGTTAGCAGATAAAAAGTCATCGTTAAAATCACCAAGAACATAAAAACATTTGTTATGTAAAGATACCAATTTGAAAACATCAGAGATATAAGTAAAAGAGTTGGCTGGGGCTTTCGGATGACGGTACATACAGCCTACAATTATGGAGGGAAGTTTGTGCACCTGCACCTTCATCCAGACATCCTCCACCCCTTCTGTCCTTTCTGCATCTATCGTAAGAGGCATTACACTTAGAGTGTCCCTGACATAAATGAACACTCCACCTCCTCTACCTTTATCACACCTGTATACATTATAATGAGGTAGAGTTACATGGCCATCTAGGATTTCAGGGTTGAGCCGAGTTTCACTAACACATAAGACATCAGTATCCCTTTCCTTTACTAGAAGTTCAATTTCACTGATATTAGAAAGAAGACTTTGGGCATTAATATGGTCTATTTTCATGTAATCCCTTTCAATTAGATGTCTTCTTCGCCACCTTCCTAGAACCTATTGTATGTACAAAATCGTTTTTTTGTGGCCCAGTTGAAAACAGAGTTCACATTTTATCTTGTGATCGAATCTACAGCTTACTTGATGATGATTAAATTCGCCGCCGATGAAACAACCTCGCCGCTTTGGCTGAAGTTAGCGCGAGGGAAGGAAGGAGGACCTGTGTTGGTGGTGGGGTGGATCCTTCTCTCTGGGTAGGTCCTCGAGCGCAGCGGGTGCCAACACTCCTCCTCGGTTGTTTCCTCTAGGCCCCCATCTTTCTTGGTGCTGCTGATGGCGTCGGGGCCTCGTCCCTGCGGTAGTCGAGGCACCAAAAGGAGGCAGCTGACCAAAGGGGGGAGGGAGGAGAGAGTCCAAGCCTGGAAGGGAGGTTGACTGACGTGTTTCGTTCATTGCGACGCTGAGATGGAAGCGTCCCATTCCTGGAGGCGTTGAAGTTGCGTCGAAAAGTATTCCAGTCATTGCGCAATTTAATACCTGTACACCGAGTTGCAACTGTATCTAGAAGTCTTATAACTCCGTCTATTCAAGTTCGACACTGGGCCATCATCCTGTTCGTCAAAACGGAGTTCATCGACTTCCCCAGTGGCAAGTCTGAATGCCAATTTAGTTTTAATCATTGCCACACCATTGGTTTCTCCCCATTTAAGATGTTCATTGTAGTCACACACTTTTGCTTGTAATTCATGAGAGGCAAAAGTTGGCACTACCTGACACACATACACTTCTATGTCACCATTTTTTTTTTGTTTTAAATCACTGATCATGGAACCGAGAGTGTCTAGCATTTTATTCAGAGGTGTTTCGTCAAAGATATCATACACTTCGCAGTAGACGACGACACACTGGGAAGGGAATCCAGGTCAGTTTTTCATTGACCCAGCTTTTAATTAGATCTACATTAACTCCGGTGATGGTCCTGATCGAGCAATTTCCGCCAAGATCAGATCGGAGAATTCGCCTGAGGTTGGAGTCCCCCAGGAGGAGGCTCTGTGGCGCGCGGGGGGGAGGAGGGGAGAGGGAGGGAGGTCCGTTGCTCTCCGCTCGTTGTTCCAGCTCGCTCACACGCTGCCGGAGTAGCCTCTTTGGTTAACAGCTCGATTTCTTTCTCTTTTGTTTCGAGTTTAGCGACAATTTTTTTGTGACATCT